GAGGGGTGGGGACTCTGGGAGGTGCTTAGGTCATGACGGTGGAGCCCTCAGGAATGGGATTGTGAAACTGGAAGCATTAATTGCTCAGTCAGGTCCAACTCTTTGCAACCCCAGAGACTGTAGCCCACCAGGCTGTTCTGTCCATGGGATTCTCCAGGCAAGGATACTGGGGTGGGATGCCATACCCTCCTCCAGGGGATCTTCCTGACCCAGGGATCGAACCTGCATCCCCTGCATTGCAGGCAGGTTCTTTACCACTGAGCCACCAAGCAATGGGATGAGTGCCCTTATAAAAGACCCTGCAGCACTCCCAGCCCCTTCCACCCCTTGAGGACACAGCGAGAAGACAGCCATCAGCAGCCCGGAAGAGGCCCTTCACCAGGAGCTGTCCACACTGGTGCCCTCATCCTGGACACCAGAACCCTGAGGCATGAGTTTCTGTTGTTTGTCAACCACCCAATCCACAGTATTTTGTTAAAGCTGCCAGAACAAACTAAGTCAGACACTCGCCTTGAGCTGATCTTCCTGCTGACCCTAGGGTCTTGCCTCAGACCCTGGCCTCCCAAGACGCCAAGCCCCCTCCTCTTGGCCTGGGTGGTCCTGCCCCGTTCTTGCTTCCTCCCTCCTCCAGGAACTGGATCCTCTCCCCGTGACACCCTGTGACCCCTCCAGGAAAGAACACATCACTGGGGACAGTCCTTGTCTTACCTGTTCACTGAGACTCTCACAAACGTCAGGGATTGCTGCTTGCTGAACCAGGCCACACACTTAGCACAGTGTACCTTGGCCAACAAGGTCTCAAAGCATCTCTGTTTCCCTAGCAACCCTGCCCGTTCCCCCCCCCCCCCCCCACCATGGGCTTCTGCTCAGTCCTTCAACCACTAAGGCCTTGTTGCCTCCAGATGATGGTGTGTCTTGCGCCCAAACCCACGACTGCTGTTGTTCTGGTCACCAGGTAGACAATCTCTGTCTTTATCTATCACTGTGGAGTCCATCCATCACACTCAAGATAGTTAACAAATTCTGTCTTTTGTTATAAATATTTGTGGCAAGATGGACCTCAGCTAGGCCTAGACTGGGGCCTGTCCAGGGACCTCCCAGGGAATGGGTCTTTCATCGCCCAGCTTTGCAAGAAACACTCAGGAAGCTTGGGGTTGTTTACCCCAGCTGTTTACACCTGGTGAGCAAAGCACATGGGCACCACCTCCTCACGCACCAGGAGATCAGGGCAGGATGCCAGATGGGCATTAAACCCGGCGTGAGAAGGCAAGGGAGCCCCTGTGCTTAGCAGGACCCTCATTCCATCAGGCACCTTATCCTCAGTTTCATGTTCCTTGCAGGCCTGGGGGCTCTGAAACCACACCTCTGCCGGCAGGTCTGCTGGTCACACCCTGCTGTGTGTGACTCTCATTAGTGTGTGAACTCTGCCAGTAAGAACAATTCTAGTCTTTGGATCTCTTTGCCACATCTTCCAGTCACCCCTCCATCATGGCAACTCTGCAAGAGAGAGGTTCATCCCTCTCTCTCTCTTTTTAATTTGGTGGCACCAGTTCTTAGATGGGACACATGGCACCTTAAGGTGTGACATGCAGGATCTTAAATGCAGCGTGGGGGATCTAGTTCCCTGACCAGGGGTCCAACCCAGACCCCCTGCATTGGGAGGGTGGAGTCTTAGCCACTGGACCACCAGGGAAGTCCTTCCCTGGCTCATTTTCACATTTCCTCAAATCCTTTGGTCAGCAGGCAGGGCTGAAGCCACGAATGCATAAAAGTTCACTTTAGCCTCTCCTGTGGCCTACAGAATGCCTTGACTGATGGTGTTCCTTGAAAAAAAAAAAATCTGAGTGCGTGAGTGAAGAGAGAGATGTATTTCACCCGTAAATGCACCAACAAGCATGGGCTAAGATCTACCAGGAAGCCGGTTGGGGAGGAGAGAACTGAGATGTCAGGCGGACGGGCAGTTCTCCAGGGCTGTGTGGCCTGGCTGGAGTGAGTGGCAGAGACCTTTCTTGGTCATGGAACATCCACGAGCTTCCACACGTTTCCAGCCTCTTCCTGATCAGGCCGCTTCTAACCAGCATGCTGTGGGCAGAGGTGATGAACTGTCCACTGCTGTGACGGCCTCCACGTTACCCTCCAGCACATTCTGTCCCTAACACATGCCCACATGGCCTCCGTCAGTCTGGGTCCCCGGTGACTCTGTAAAGCAGAGACCCTGCCCTGCCATGCTGCATGAGCAAGAACCAATACACACCCTTGAAGTGTGCAACTGAGATTCTACAACACAGCCTCATCTGGTCTAATACAGGCTTCCCAGGTGGCACTAGTGGTGAAGAACCTGCCTGCTAATGTGGGAGACCTAAGAGACGTTGGTTCAATTCCTGGGTTGGGAAGATCCCCTGGAGAAGGAAATGGCAAGAGAATCCCATGGACAGAGGAGCCTGGTGGGCTCCAGTCCATTGGGTCACAAACAGTCGACATGACTGAAGCCAGTTTGCACACAGGCACTGGTCTAATACTAGGAAAGACAGAGATGATGGCAGAGGGCACAGCACAGATTTCCCATGGGTGGAGAATAGAAAGGGGTACTCCTAGCATTTCCCCACTTGAGGGGAGTGTGATTAGCTAAGTCCCTGCCTTGTCTCTCTGCTTCACTCCTTCCTTCTCCTCTCGGATGGTTGGAGTGGAGGGTGACATGGCAACCCTCGCCTGCCCCTCTACTCTGCCCTTTAGGGGGAAGCAAAGGGCCTACAGAAGGAATGAGCTGTTCTGTGCCCACCCCTGCCATGTCCTAACACCTGCAGGGCCCCCTGCCCAATGCTGCCTGCCAGGGGACGCCACTCTGTCTGGAACCTGGAATAGGAAGCCGGTTTAGTTCTCCTGCAAAGCTGCTTTCTCCCATGCAGCCTTTTTCAGCTTTAAAGTTGAAATTTGGCTTTTGTCTACATCTGCCTTCACTTTATTTCTCAGCAGGTTCAGTAATCAGGCCAGGAGGATGGTACTTTTTACTGGATGCCCCTTGTGTGTATGCTCAATTGTGTCTAACTCTTTGCAACCCCATGAACTGTAGCCCAACAGGCTTCTCTGTCCATGTAATATCCCAGGCAAGAATACTGGAGTGAGTTGCCATTTCTTACTCCAGGGGATCTTCCACCCCAGGGATCCAACCCAAGGTCTCCCACATTGGTAGGCAGGTTCTTTACCACTGCACCTCCACTCCGCCTTGAACTTGAGCAAACACTTTTCCATCATCAGTAGAGTTCTCAATTTGACATCCAAAGTCCTCCACCAAAATATCTGGGCTCAGCCAACTCTCCAGGCCTGGTGTCCCACCATGCTGTGCCCTGGACAAGCCAGGACCTGGAGCACCACCACATGGGCTCCCCTTAGCATCCTGGACACACCTCCTGTTCTCTTCCATCTGCTGAGCTTTGCCCCTTCAACTCGCTCACATTTAAGTCCCCCAATTCTACCCATCGTACAAGCCCAGCCCACGTGCTACTTTCTGTCAAATCTCCCCTTCCTTGCCAGATTTCTTATCCTGATTCCTCTACCAAGGACCTTCCTCTCCTCCCTCCGCACATGCCTGCCTAAGGTCCACATCCACTGATCTCCAAGCTCTCCAACTGGATGCTCCCACGTGGAGCCTCCCCTGAGCCCCCAGGGGCATGGAAGGTTCATCCTAAGTGCTTCTATGGAATCACTGGCAAACACACTGAAGTGGAATTTTCTGCCCACTTTTCTTAAGAAACATACGAAGGAACCCAGATAACACTTCTACATAAACACACACATGCCCAAAGACAGCAGAATGGCCAAACGGTAAATTGCCTACATTCCACACAGAAACCAAATTCATTGCCCACCAGGAGAGGTGGCCACGCCAGAGAAGGCACTGAAAGAGTCACTGCCTTAAGTGAAACCTTTCTGGAATTCTCTGCGCCCCAGGAAAGGCTCCCTTGAAGAGAGGGGATATCCGGTCAAGTGTCCATTTCCAACTTGATAGCGCGTTAAAAACATCCCTTCACCAATTTCACTCCCCTGAGGTTACTGAGAGGCTGAGACCATTGGTCCCTGGACTCAGCGAGGGAAAGAGATGCCTCCAGGCCACCCAGGATAAAGACAGTGAGGAGAGGGTCTCAGCTCCCTGCAGCGCCCTCCCTGCTCCGTCCCATCTAAGAAGCATAAGTGCCGGAAAGTGGTGCTCAAGCAATAGCAGCTTATGGCTCGAATGACACGTCTGAATGCTGAGGCCACTGCATTTTTCTCACTGGCTGGGAGCTTGGGAAGCCCGATATACCCCTTTGAAGTCTGCTCAGAGCCTGGGGAATGCATGGATTTGTGGGGGCCTCTGACAGTATGGGGGCAGAAAAGACTCTCTTGGGCTCAAGTATCAAGAGATTTTCCCAACTTTGTAAATGTTGCTGGGAAAATAAGGAGAATGAGAACTCTTGTTTTTTGTTGTTTTTTTTTTAAGCAGGAAGTGTTGAAGCCCTTTTGCTTCTAACTTAGGCTAAAAAGAATAGCATGCTCAGGGGCTAAGTTGTGTCTATCGCTTTGTGACCCCATGGACTGTAACTGCCAGGCTCCTCTGTCCATGGGATTATCCTAGGCAAGAATACTGGAGTAGGTTGTCATTTCCTTCTCCAGGGGATCTTCCAAACACAGGGATGGAACCCACATCTCCTGCACTGGCAGGTGGGTTCTTTACCACTGAACCACCAGGGAAGCAGAAAGAACAGACCCCATGACTGCTCTTGGGCGACAAAGAGGCCATCAACTTGAGCCAGAGGACTACTGCTCAAGAATGTTCCAGGAAAGATTCCTGCCTGGGCAGAGACCCTCCAAGGACACACCTTGCTCCTTCTCCTTTCTCCACTTCAAGTGCTCTGGACTTCCTTTGTTTTATGCTGGGTCACTGCCCCCAGAAACCTTGCACACACTGAACTGACCACACACTATGGGGCTCGAGGGGAGCGTGGGAGGTGGCGACTCCATACCGATTTTGGTGAGCCACTTGGCCACGGCGCCGTAGATCTCATCCAGAATGAGAATGACCACCAGGTTGATGATGACCGCCGTGGCCGTCACCGTCACCCGGACATTGGAGCGTGTGGCCTTGTTGAGAGACAGAGCAGCTGCAGTAGTGATGCGATAGACAATGACCCCAAAGACGATGGAGAAGGTCAAGGCAATCTGTTAGGGAAAACAGGGAGAGTCACAGGTCAGTGGACAGCTGCTGCCTAACTACAGCTAGACCCTGTGCTGGGTTGGGCAGCATTAACTTGGGGGACAACAAGGCACTGCCAACCCCAGAAACTCATGCAAATTCCTACACGGGGGCATTTTACAGGAGAGAGTGTCTCTCCCTTTTATTAGATTCGAAATGGCCTATAATACACACACACACACACACACACACACACACACACACACAGAGTAAGGTTACCAGTCAGTGGTGGGCAGGGCAATATGAGTGGGGAAAAGAATAATTATGGAATTCTATTAAATCATGTGTGTGAAACTTCTGGAAATTGTAAAGCATCACAGAATTTAAAATTTTTTCATTCAATTACAAGAAATTGTAAAACCTGTTTGTTGTTTAGCTGCTAAGTCACGTCCAACTCCTTGTGACCCCATGGACTGCACCACGCCAGGCTCCTCTTTCCGAGGGATTTCCCAGGCATTAATACCAGAGTAGGGAGTCCCTGATAGCTCAGTTGGTAAAGAACCTGCCTGCAATGCAGGAGACCCCAGTTCAATTCCTGGGTCGGGAAGAGCCACTGGAGAAGGGATAGGCTACCCACTCCAGTATTCTTGGGCTTCCTTTGTGTCTCAGCTGGTAAAGAATCCACCTGCAATGCAGGAGACCTGGGTTAGATCCCTGGGTTGGGAAGATCCCCTGGAGAAGGAAAAGGCTACCCACTCCAGTATTCTGGCCTGGAGAATTCCATGGACTGTATATCCATGATGTCACAAAGAGTCAGACACGACTGAGAGAGACTTTCACTTCACTTCTTCAATACTACAGTGGGTTGTTATTTCCTTCTCCAGGGGATCTTCCCAACCCAGGGATCAAACCCACATCTCCTGTTTGGCAGGCAGATTCTTTATCACTGAGAAGTCTTATAAATAAAAGCTAATCTATAAAAATGTAAAAAAAAGAAAAGAAATGAAGACAAACAGTGAATGCATGGTGTAGAACACAGGTGTTGTGATTCCTTTCATTAGGGAGCTTGCACTCTATTATGGGGGTAAGTTCAACCATAGGAAATAGTAAATAATAATTAGTGATGGAGTTGTATCAAAGGAACGGTGTAGTTGTGAACACGACTGAGAGCAGAGGAGCTAGGGAAGAGTCTGTGGAAGAAGGAGATTTAAAATGCCTGGAGGGCCAGCCCGTTTCCTTTTTCCAGAACCTAAGAACAATGAGACTCCCTCGCCCCTCCCCTCCCGTCACAGTCGAGGAAGGGCCGTTTCCCTGAAGCACAAGGATGTGAGGGGCAGGAGGTGGAGGGGATTGGCTAGGTGTGCAGCTTTCTCAGGTCAATTCTCTAATTCCTTTCCATCAAGTGGAGTCTTCTTTCTTGAATTCTTTCTGCAAAAGGAGGCGGTTCAAGTCACATCCCCTCTGAGTTGGGAAGGAGGGGTGGGTGCTGGCTGGGGAGGATGAAATGGAAAACATGGGGAGAGAACGGGCCAGGTGAAAGGTTCCTGTGAGAAAACACACTGCCCCGGACTGCGGTATCCCTTCCCTGGAAACCAGGGAGGAAGGGGGTGGGGGATGGCGGGGGTGAGGGGAGAGGAGGGGGCGGAGCCTCTGGCCCCTGCAGCCCGTGAATGACACCTGGGTGGGCTGCGCTGGGGAATAGGTTGCAGATGTGGCCACGTGTGGAAGTCCCGGGCTGCCGGGCGTGCCGGTGGCAGCCTCAGCCTTGTACTGCGCATCCTCCTGTGCTTTACAAACATGTGTCTGTGGACGATGGTGAGAAAAGGGGGCCCCTCCGTAAGGAAGGCAGGATGGCAGTGGCCCTGGGGAGAGGGAGGCTCTGTGTGTGTGTGTGATGGTGGAGGAGAGGTTAGATGAGAAAAACACTCGGTGGGAGGCCCCTCCTCTGACGGGGTGGGGGCGGGGAGCAGAACCTCAGCCCCCAGGACCGGGACTTGGGGAAACCTGGCCACGACATCACCGCCCACCAACAACAGAGACACCCCACCTCCCTCTCCTCCGGGATCGTCACCGCCAGAACAAGGGCCTGGAAAAAGTGGTGTGAGATTCTTTTCCCTCAGAATCGCTTTTGCAGTGAAGGCCAGTGATAGAAGCATTGATGCAGCAAAGTGGAGAGGCCAGAGCATCGAAGAGTGAGTGTGTGTGTGTGTGTGTGTGTGTGTGTGTGTGTGTGCACGCGTGTGCACCTGGGGTTACGTATGCGTGGAGGATGGGGGGGGAACAACCATGGCAAAAACATCCCCTGCTTTGTGGTCCTGGGGAAGGGGAGATCAGCTTCTTCCTTCTTTAGGAGGCCCCCCTGCCACCAAGCTGAAGACAGAGCATGCTTCCTGGTCACTCAAAGTGTGGTTTGGACCCCACTGTCTCACCTGTGAGCTTGAGAAACAGGCGAATCACAAGCATGAATCTAGACCTACCGGCTCAGAATCCTCACTTCTTAACAAGATTCCTCTTCTAGAGGCCCAGCTCCACTCACTCAGGGCACCCCTTTTCCCCACCCTCCTTTCTTCCTGGCTCCGCCTCCATGCCCCTCCCAAGAGCCCGGATGCTGTGCTCTGCACCCCAACTTCCCTGGTCTTGATTTTCCATCCCAGTCTTCTGAACCTCTCCTTTGGTGTCTCCCACAAATACCTCAAGATTCACAGTTTTCAAGTGGGAAGAGCTTGGGAAGCACCAACCCCATTCCAGGACCAATTTGCAGGTGATGAAACAGGTGTAGGAAGTGACTTGCTCAAGCTCACAAGGCACATACTACAAACCCAGCTCATAGATCACAGTAGAAACTAAGGAATTTCAGCCTTTAGGGATCATCCACATCCAGCCTTTGATCTCACAGACAAGGAAAATGAGGACCAAGAAGTAGCAATGGGACTGGTCCGAGTCTGCAAGATACATGGCAAAGCCATCATCATCATCAACAACAGTTGATCCATAGAGGGAGAATGGATACATGTACACGTATGGCTGAGTCCCTTTGCTGTCCAACTGAAACTAGCACAACATTGTTCATCAGCTATACTCATAGTCAACAAAAAGAGTACAAAATGCAGCACTTGGAAACAGCAAAAGGATCTCTGTTCATTTCCAAGGCAAACTATTTAACATCACAGTAACCCAAATCCATGCCTCAACCACTTCAAAGAAGCTGAACGATTCTATGAAGACCTACAAGATCTTCTAGAACTAATACCAAAAAAAGATGTGATTATCATCATAGAGGATTGGAATGCAAAAGTAGGAAGTCAAGAGATACCCAGAATAACAAGCAAGGTTGGCCTTGGAGTACAAAGTGAAGCAAGGCAAAGGCTAACAGAGTTTTGTCAAGAGAACACCCTGATCATAGCAAACACCCTCTTCCAACAAACCAAAAGACGATCCTACACATAGACATCACCAGATGATCAATACCGAAATCACATTGATTATGTTCTTTGCAACCAAAGATGGAGAAGCTCTATACAGTCAGTAAACACAAGACCTGGAGCTGACCGTGGCTCAGATTATGAGCTCCTATTGCAAAATTAAATTGAAGAAAGTAGGGAAAACCACTAGATTATTCACATATGTGCTAAATCAAATCCCTTATTATCATACAGGGGAGGTGACAAATAGATTCAAGAGATTAGATCTGAAAGACAGAATGCCTGAAGAACTATGGATGGAGGTTCATAACACTACACAGGACACAGTGACCAAAACCATCCCAAAGAAGAGGAAATACAAAAATACTCCAATATAAAATTAAAAAAAACTCCAGTGTAACATAAAACATGTTCTAATCACTACATCTAATTATCAAGAAAACAAAGTAGCTTACATTAATTGCTTTAAACATGTCATAATAAATAATAAAAAATTATAGAATAATATTTCAGTAATATTCTATCACATAAGACAAAGTCAAACAAATGGTGACTTTATCTACCCACTGATTCTACCCACATTTCCCATGGTCATTTTGAAGAAAATGCCTCTCACTAGATATCACTTGATTGAAGTGAAATATTATTAAACTTTAAGCTAATGCTTATAATAACTAAATTAATTGGATGTCTTACATATTCATAAAATATCAGTATTAAAAAAAACAGCTAATCCATGTGTACCCTCCTGATTTCATTATTTCAACCACAGCTACTTTAGCATACCTTATAATAACCACACATGCTACACCTTTGGTAGATGAAATTTAGTTCCATCCAAGATCTAAATTCTGGTCTATGGTTCCAAGATCAACCCAGGACTTTTGGCACCAAATCCAGCACTCTTCTCATCACTTTGGCTGCATTATTAATTTTGTCTATTAAACTAAACGAGTGTTTTCTGACCACTTACTGTACTATGTGAGGTGTATTTCATATTTGTGATCAGGTCCCCCAACTGGACCAAAAGTGGAGATTTATCATGTACTTCTTTCTATGCCTTTGCAACTACAGAGAGGTGCCTCCTGCTGGAACCTGTTTGGTAAACATTTGCTCACCCTCAACTCTGGCAGTTTCCCCCTCCTGCATGTGGCCACCTATCATGGCCTCTGGGTTTCTTGGTGGGTTTTTTAATACATTTTTTTTTTTTGACCAGACCTTACAGCATGCAAGATCTTAGTTCCCTGACCAGGGATCAAACCTTTGCTCCCTGCAGTGGATGCTCAGAACCCTAACCACTGGACCACCAGGGAAGCCTCCTTAATACAACGTTTAAACGTTACTTTCCATTTACGGTTATTACAAAATATTGGCTGTGTTCCCCAAGTTGCACAGTACATTCTTGTGGCTCTTGTGTTTGAATTCCATAATCTTACATCTGGACACAGCCAAACTGCAGCGGAAGCCATGCTATGGAGCCCAGAGTCTTAATTTCACATGATGAGAGACACAGTGGGGACAGCCGATCTGGTCCTGACCCTCCAGGACTTGCATTCTGAATGGAAGTTGAGAAGACCACGGCACCCATACAATAAGGATGCTCCCCTTGGAGAAGGGAATGGCTACCCACTCCAGTATTCTTGCCTGGGAAATCCCATGGACAGAGGAGCCTGGTGGGCTACAGTCCTTGGGGTTGCAAATACTCAGATATGACTGAGTGACTAACACTTTCTTTTCACTTTCAGGAAAGGCATAGACGAGCAGGTGACATTTCAGCAAGGACCTAACGGAGGATATCACAGGGCCAGGGGTCAGGGGGTGCTGGCAGAGGGTGGCTTTAGCAATGAGTGAGGGAGAGAGTTGGGGCAGAAGATGGATGTTGGGGAGAAAGAAGGTCTGTCTCAGCGTAAGAATGTCAGCTTCTATGCCTCGTGAGGTTGATGCCGAGCAGGATCTGTGGGGCTCCTGGGCACAAAGCCTTTCTGTGAAATAGCCTTCATTCAACCTCTGTGATTTTCCCTGAGTTCCAATGTGCAGATTTGAACAGTCACTAATCAACGGAGGAGCAGTCATAAAGCCACCTGGGACAAGGCTAAAGGAACCAGAGAAGCTTACCAAGCCTAGGAGACACCTGAGACCCTGCTTCCCAGGTGGGGCCAGTGGTAAAGAACCCACTTGCCAATGCAGGAGACAAAAAAGACATAGATTTGATCCCTGAGTTGGAAAAATCCTCTAGAGGAGGCTGTGGCAACCCACTCCAGTATTCTTGCCTGGAGAATCCCATGGACATAGGAGGCTGGCAGGCTACAGTCCATGGGGTCGCAAAGTGTAGACATGACTGAAGCGACTGAGCAGGCACATTGAGACCCTGCACACTCCCTAAATTGTCAGCATCACCACCCTTGGATCCAACCAGACCCAGTGTTGTGGCTGTTTTGAAACTTTGCAGAAGAAAGGAGAATGCAAAACTGTCACAACCTTGATCCTTACCACATACCCCTGACCACAGTCCTGACTATAAGACCTCTCCCTACTCCCCAGGGAAGGGGGCACAGTTCTTGAGATGCAAGACTACCATGCTCCCTCTTGACCTGGCAGAGAAATAAAGCCACTTTCTTCCTTCTTGGAAGGACAGATGCTGAAGCTGAAGTTCCAATACTTTGGCCACCTGATGTGAAGAACTGACTCATTAGAAAAGACCCTGATGCTGGGAAAGATTGAAAGCAGGAGGAGAAGGGGATGACAGAGGATGAGATGGTTGGATGGCACTCAATGGATGTGAGTTTACGTAAACTCCGGGAGATAGTGAAGAACAGGGATGCCTGGCGTGCTGCAGTCCATGGGGTCGCAAGGAGTCGGACACAACTGAGTGACTGAACTCCATATTTCTGTTCAGCATTGGTGAACAGAGAACTAAGATTTTAGCCTCAGATGTGATGCCTTTAGAGAGTTTTGAGCAGAGGAGTAATGTGATGTGACCTAGATTTGGAAAAGATCAGCAGGCTGATGATCTGTTGGGGCCAGAATAACAGCAGGGAGCTGAGTTAGGAGGCCACTGTGATAATCCAAGTGATGGAAGAGGGTTTCTGGTCTCTGATATACAAACATGAGTCAACGGTTATCTTGGGCGTGGGAGGAAAGCTTAGGCACCCTGCTCTAAAGGGAGGGAATTGCCTCTGATAATCCTCCCATAGAAAAAGGACACAAAAGAGGATTCATTCAAAAAGGAAAGGAACATTAGCTCAACACTCTGGGCTGGAGAAGAAAGAGAAAATTCATCTTTGTCCACCCGGGCCTCTTCCATGGGTGAGGAAGATGACCACCACCACACTGGGCTTTTCTTAGCTCTCATCACTCCATGAAAAATATCCTCAATGGATGACAGACTGGCATCCCTAAAAGCTTCCTCATGGCCGTGGTCCTGGCGTCTTCTGCCAAGGTTTAGTCACTACTGGTGGAGGAGGAAATGACACTGGATACTCAAGTTCATTGCCATAGATGCCCTGGGCTAACTCTGTAACCAAAAAAAGCCACTCTTTTACAAACATCATCCTGACCCCTTTATTTCAAATTCCACACCTTGTTCTAGAGTAATGCCAAGCCCCATCTGGAGACTGGATTTTTAAAAAACAAAAAACAAAAAAAATGCAGAAAAGTTAGTGCAAAATAAGGATTTTTTAAAAAAAACCAAATTGGTAGGGGGCTATATAATTTATTACCCAACTTGGAACACTTTTGTAATAATTTTATTCATCTATTTATTTTTGCCCGTGCTGGGTCTTCGTTGCTACGAAGGCTTTTCTCTAGCCGTGGTGAGCTGGGACTAGTCTTCATTGCAGCGTGTGGCCTTCCATTGCAGTGGCTTCTCCTGTTGCGGAGCAGGGGCTCTAGGCACGAGGGCTTCGGTAGTTCCAACACGTAGGCTCAGGGTCACACTTCCTGGGCTCTGTGCACCACGGGCTCAATAGTTGTGGTACACAGGCTTCCCGGCAGGTGGGATCTTCCTGGACCAGCGACTGAACCCCCATCTCCTGCCCCTCTAGGAGGACCGTGGGTTTATCTTCACTAGCCCTTCCTCATCCCCACAGCATCACAGACTAACACCCCCAGCATTAGCACAGCAGGATCCACACACACATGGCAGAACCAGGTGTTCCCACCAGGAAATTACCATGAACAAGATGGAGGCGAAGTTCATCAGGTAACCTGGGAAACGATCTTTCCAGGTCAGCTTATCTTCATCGTCCTGGGGAGAAACAGGAGAACAGTGACCATCAGATGCTGTAAGCAACAGATATAAAATGCCCTCAGTTTTCCATAAATGTGTATATTATTCACCACTCTACTTAGAGATGTTTTTGGTCTCCGATGCCTTACCCTCCACATCAACAACAGCCCTCCTAATTCTGTGATTTCTAGATTTTGGAAAATCTGTAGTGAAAAGAGGACAATATTTGATTTCAACCTCACACTGGGCTAAAGTTTCAGTTCAACCGCTCTATCTGTTGTGTGAACTTTGCTGTGTCTCTTAACGTTTCTATTTCTTCATCTGCTAAATGGGCACAGTCATGACCCCCATCCTGATTCATGCACGGGATGGTTTTGTTTGTTTTATTTTAATGAGAAACACACAAATGCGGTAAAGTGAGAGACAAATGACAGATACAAATGACCATGGGGCAGCATCCTAGAATAGATCATCATTTATATCAGACACTAGTCACTGACCTTAGATCCCGAGTGTGCAAATTACCCACAATTTTTGTTCTTCAAAGAACCTATACATGTTGTCATCTGTTCCCTCCAAAACAACTGTTCTCCCCTGGTCACAAAGGCAGACAACTCAGGATGTAGGCTCAGCTGATGCCTAGCTGTCAGTCTGGCTGAGAACCAGACTCCATCCAGTTCACCCCTTGCTCTCTTGGGACCTCCGTATCCCTGGCCACATCTGTCTTCCCCTCCCCCTAAGGACCCTCACCTGGTAGGGTGAAGCCCACCAGGTACAAGGGGTTAAACACCTCTGCCAATTAACTGCCACACAATTTTAGCCTGGGCACTGGATTTGATGCTTTCGAACTGTGGTGTTGGAGAAGACTCTTCAGGGTCCCTTGGACAGCAAGGAGATCAGATCAGTCAATCCTAAAGTCAACCCTTAATATTCATTGGAAGGACTGATACTGACACTGAAGCTCCAATACTTTGGCCACCTGATGGGAAGAGCTGACTCAGTGGAAAAGACCTGATGCTGGGAAAGATTGAAGGCAAGAGGAAAAAGGGACGATAGAGGATAAGATGGTTGGATGTCATCGTCAACTTGATGGACATGAGTTTGAGCAAACTCCAGGAGATGATGAAGGACAGGGAAATATGGTGTGCTGCAGTCCACAGGGTCGTGAAGAGTCGGACACAACTGAGCGACTGAATAACAACTGGAATTCTTCGAGCTGTCATTCTTTACAATTAGAATGGATACAGTGCCCAGCAACTTCAAGGTTGCCTCGAAGGCCAGCTGAAGCCATCCTGGGGAGGATGCAGTGGAAACGGCAAAGCCCTCCGTGCTGGCGAGGTAAGGCCCCTGCATTTCTGGAGCCTGTCTGACTCTAACTCCACAAGCCAGCGTTCCAGGCCCTGCTCTGCTTCTCTCGCCCCTCCTAGCCAGATTTCAGAACACACCTGATCTGTCTCTAGCAACAGTGCCATCTAGGCTTTGAAAGCTTGTACTGTAGGCTTCCCCAGTGGCTCAACGGTAAAGAATCTGCCTGCAATGCAGGAGACTCGGATTCGATCCCTGTGTCAGGAAGATCCCCTAGAGGAGGAAATGACAACCCCCTCCAGTATTCTTGCCTGGAGAATCCCACGGAGGAGCCTGGTGGGCTACAGTCCATAGGGTCGCAAAGAGTCAGACGTGACTGAGCGACTAAACCTCCATCACCACTCTAAGTGAAGGGCCTTCTTGGCCTGAAAATCTTCTTTCTAAAAGCCTCTGTAAGCCCACTATGTGCAGACTTTGCAGCCATGCGCAGTGGGGAGACGGACAGTGGACAGAGTCACTGTCCCTAGGGGGCTCCCTGTTTAATGGGATGGAAGTGACAACCACACGCAAAAAGAGCTTCAGGAATCCCGTGCCAGTTCAGGAAAGTGGGTCATCCTGGAAGTAAGCCTGGGCAGGATTTGAGGAAAGGAATGGTGTGTCCTTCTCCAGCCGTGTCTGGAGCTGAGCACAGGGCTGAGGTGACTACACATGGTGGAAAGAAACATTAACAGCTCGGTGGTCTGTAATGACCTAGAGGGGTCAGAGGGAGGTCCAAGACGGAGGGGATAAATGTATAAAGTGAAGAGTTAGTCACTCAGTTGTGTCCACCTCTTCAAGACCCCATGGACTATAGCCTGCCAGGCTCCTCTGTCCAAGGAATTCTCCAGGCAAGAAACACTGAAGTGGGTAGCCATGCCCTTCTCCAGGGGATCTTATACTTTTAGCTGATTCACTTCATTCTACAACAGAAACAACACAACACTTAAAGCAATTATATCTCAATTAAAAAAAAAAAGAGCATTAAGGCTGGAGTCATTCAGTGATCAACGCTCTCATGTACCAACATTCTTTACAATTAGAATGGATACAGTGCCCAGCAACTTCAAGGTTGCCTCGAAGGCCAGCTGAAGCCATCCTGGGGAGGATGCAGTGGAAACGGCAAAGCCCTCCGTGCTGGCGAGGTAAGGCCCCTGCATTTCTGGAGCCTGTCTGACTCTAACTCCACAAGCCAGCGTTCCAGGCCCTGCTCTGCTTCTCTCGCCCCTCCTAGCCAGATTTCAGAACACACCTGATCTGTCTCTAGCAACAGTGCCATCTAGGCTTTGAAAGCTTGTACTGTAGGCTTCCCCAGTGGCTCAACGGTAAAGAATCTGCCTGCAATGCAGGAGACTCGGATTCGATCCCTGTGTCAGGAAGATCCCCTAGAGGAGGAAATGACAACCCCCTCCAGTATTCTTGCCTGGAGAATCCCACGGAGGAGCCTGGTGGGCTACAGTCCATAGGGTAGCATAGAGTCAGACGTGACTGAGCTACTAAACCTCCATCACCACTCTAAGTGAAGGGCCTTCTTGGCCTGAAAATCTTCTTTCTAAAAGCCTCTGTAAGCCCACTATGTGCAGACTTTGCAGCCATGCGCAGTGGGGAGACGGACAGTGGACAGAGTCACTGTCCCTAGGGGGCTCCCTGTTTAATGGGATGGAAGTGACAACCACACGCAAAAAGAGCTTCAGGAATCCCGTGCCAGTTCAGGAAAGTGGGTCATCCTGGAAGTAAGCCTGGGCAGGATTTGAGGAAAGGAATGGTGTGTCCTTCTCCAGCCGTGTCTGGAGCTGAGCACAGGGCTGAGGTGACTACACATGGTGGAAAGAAACATTAACAGCTCGGTGGTCTGTAATGACCTAGAGGGGTCAGAGGGAGGTCCAAGACGGAGGGGATAAATGTATAAAGTGAAGAGTTAGTCACTCAGTTGTGTCCACCTCTTCAAGACCCCATGGACTATAGCCTGCCAGGCTCCTCTGTCCAAGGAATTCTCCAGGCAAGAAACACTGAAGTGGGTAGCCATGCCCTTCTCCAGGGTATCTTATACTTTTAGCTGATTCACTTCATTCTACAACAGAAACAACACAACACTTAAAGCAATTATATCTCAATTAAAAAAAAAAAGAGCATTAAGGCTGGAGTCATTCAGTGATCAACGCTCTCATGTACCAACGACGTCAACAAGGGATGCTCGGTTTCTCGTAGGTGCTGATAGGATCAGGTCTCCAGACTCTGAGCCCAGCAGACTTTCCATCACACAGTGAGAACAAGGTCACTGCAGATCTTGACCATCCAGCAAGGTGGACTATAAAAACCTATTTCTATTAGGACTGAGGCAAGTCCTCTAAATGAGGCCAGACATCAAAAGGGACTAGTATTTCTTTCTCTCTGCCTTCAGTATTCATTCTTTTTTATTTGTTTTCTTTTTAATATTTATTTATTTGGCTGCGTTGGGTCTTAGTCGCAGCCCACAGGATCTTTGCTGTGTCATGTAGGATTTGTCGTTGCGGCACAGGGACTCCCTAGCTGTGGCACAGTCTCAGCAGTTGTGAGCACACAAACAGCTGTTTTGCAAGTGGGATCTTAGTTCCCTGACCAGGGATAAGACCCGCATCCCTTGCATTGCAAGGTAGATTCTTAACCACTGGGCCACCAGGGAAGTCCCCAGTGTTCATTCTTAATTTCACTCACACTAGTGGTATCTTGGTTTCCCAGGTGGCTCTAATGGTGAAGAATCCGCCTGCCAATGCAGGAGAAGCAAGAGACTCAGGTTCAGTTCCTGGTTCGGAAAGACACCCTGGAGAAAGAAATGGCAATGCACTCCAGTGTTCTTCCCTGGAGAATCCCATGGACGGAGGAGCCTGGTGGGCTACAGTCCATGGGATCACAAAGAGTAAGACATGATTGAGCACAGTGGTATCTTACTTCAAGATTCTGATTAGAAAGCTGAAGACGGGTGAGTAGATGATAACTCTGTAGGGATTATGAAAAGAAGTCTAGGGTTACGTGGGGTTCATCTGGAGACCTCTCTCATTATGATTACGGTCTGGATGATTCTCTGACTCTTTTCCTGCTTTCTGGCCTGGGGATGAGAGGTTCTGCGTTGAGAACCAGCAAGCCAGGTGTGCTCAGAAATGCCAGCGATGAGCAGGGAAGGGGAAGCTCCAGTTACAGATTCTGCGTCTCCAGTTCCTCCCTGGTGAGGCTCCCTGAGTGGGGAGCAGAGCAAGGAGAGATAGAAAGACCTGTGCATGGCCCATGAAATCAAGGGAAGGGGCAAGGAAGCAGTCAGTGAGGATGAGACCGGGCTCAGAATGGTCCTCAGGGACAAGATGGACAGTCTTGGAAGAAATGGGAAAAAAAGGAAGTGCAAGCAGAGAAGTAGGAAACACAGCCCCAGATGAAAAAGACTCTGAAATAAGTATAATTGTAGAGGATGACTAGCAAACCCAAGGGCAGGGCCAGGGGTCAGAGAGGGTTTTGGCCAAGGTTCCTGCCAAGTGTTCCACCTTCTTAAGGCCAGGGACTGAGTGGGATGAGGTGCATTCAGACCAGCCTCTATGCACACTAAGTCACTAAAGTTGAGTCAGACTCTTTGTGACCCCATGGACTGTAATCCACCAGGCTCCTCTGTCCATGGGATTCTTCAGGCACCAACACTGGAGTGGGTTTCC